AATGTGCTTGCAGGCATTAGCATTATGAAGCTTTTATGATTATTCTATTATTATTCTATCAAGAAGAATTTTGTGTTTGGCATTAAAATGATGTTGTATTGTTAATTTCAAATGCTTGCAAGCTGTTCAAAGTAATTCTTGGCTACAAGAATATTACGTATACCACATGTGTTTTCAATAGGCTTTCAAAGCTTCGTACTTCAACTATTTGCAGTTCGATTCTCTACAAGACTAATGTAAAGTCTTTCAGTTCTCAGCTCAAAAATGCAAATTGATCATTTATTCTCATAAATTATTACTGAACTGAAAAGTGTTTGATCTTGAGCTACTTTAAACACACAAATTTCTTAGAATTTGTTTATTTTGCTTGCCACCCACATGCCAAATGCTCTCGAATGCAGTTGCTATTTATAGACAGCTCTAAAGCAGCCGATTAATATTGCATAAAAAGCGTTTTTAAATAAACAAATTTCTTCAGAGTTCGACGCATTAATAAAAATTAAATTCATCCATATGTTCAGATATTCGTTTTGTGATATTGTAAATAAATAAAAAAAAAACAAAAACACCAACAAAACTCAAGCACAATCAGTTTAATAAATTTAAAAGTAAAAACAAAAAGCAAAAACAATAAAACTAACGCACAAACAAAAAATAAATAGCAACAACGAGTGAAATCAACGAAGGGCGTAAATTTTCAATAAATGATATAACATAGAATCTGCAGCAATCAGTGATAATCAAACTAAACCAAAACGTGAAATCAGCACTTAAAGAAGAAGCAGAAGAGGAAGAAGTAGCAGCAGAATATGTGATAAAGTCAAGTGTAAATCAATGTTTGTCATCACAATCAACAATAATAAAAAATAAATAAATAATAAACACAYATACTTCAAAAGGGGCCACGCACTCATGTATATAAAAATAAACATACATACATATGTACAAACATACGTACGCACAACTTGCATCTTGAATGTGTGATAAGGCCGCAAGCGTTAAAAACCGGTTAGAGCCGGTCATAAATAGATGAGAGGCGGCGCAAGGACTCGCTACCACATTCTCATAACTGCCGTTAATTGATGAAACAAACTTCACAAATTCTAACTGTAAAGCAAAGACACAAAACAACAAAAATAATAAGTTAAACAACAACCAGAGCAGGAACGTTAAAAGCGACCTCAAAGCCACGCTGATGATGGGCTACATCATGGGTTGTGCTTGTTTCAAAGGTATGTAAAGCTCTTTTGTGTGTGTGTGAGTTTGTGTTTGTTTAACAGTTTTTCCACACACATACACACGAACACTTGCTCTCACACACGCCCTCTCTTTGGTCTCTCTTTCCCTCTCTCATTTTATCATTTGTCAACTCTCATTTATGCGTTGGCATTGCGTTTCCTTCCGCTCATTAGCTTTGTTGTTGCTGCTGCTGTTGCTGCGTCTTCTTCTTCTTCCACTTTATTGTTTTGCCTTTTACGCACTTTCGCATTCTTCGCATGCAAAACGTCATTAAACAACGTCACAAAGTCAGCGTGCATGCGCACGTGCCAACACTTATGCTCTCTGGTGCGCCATCTCTCACTGTCACTCTCCCTCTGTCACTCGCTGTTTATGGCAAACTATTCGCACTGTTAGTTAACAGTTTTTATAGCAGCGCAGCTTCGTGACAACAGGCAGGCAGGCAGCGTCGCCTTTTTTATTGCCCTGTAAAATCTCTGTGAGTGCAAAATGCATGAGATTTGCCTTTGCCTTTGCCTTGCCTTCCCCGTTACATTTTTTAGTGTCTGTGTGTGTGTGCGTGTGCGTGTATGTTTTCTTCGCCGTTTCTTGCTGTCGTCGCTTAAAGGATTTTTGAGTGCATATGTGTGTCTGCGTGTGTGTGTGCGTATGTGTGAGCAACTTGTGTATTGCTCGACAGCCTTTTGAGTGCAAAGTGATTTTTTCTGTTGTCTTTTGCACTTTTCTAGCGATTTGTTATGTGAGCTTAATAAGCTGCCAAGCTAGCTGCGGCCCTTTACAGTTATGCATGATATATGTAGTTTTTTTTGTGAACCTAATTTAAAAAATTTTTAGAGTCATGCAATTGGAGTTTAAAATGTTTTTGGTTTATTAAAAATTTCATATTGAAAAGTCAAAAATTCAATGTTTAGTAAGTTAAAAAAAAATAAAATAAAATCGTATATCATTAATTAATCACTTATTTTGTGTACTCATCATTTAGATTTATTTATGTATTATTTTGTATATCTGCAATGAATTTAAAA